AAATATTTAATATGTGACCCTGCGATTCCACTCTTAAATATTCATCCAAGAAAAATAAAAACATATGTCCACATGGTGACTAGTATTTGAATGTTCATAGCAGTTTGAGTCACAATATTAAATAACTAGAAACAGTCCAGGCATGGTAGTTCACGCCTGTAATCCCAGCATTTGGGAGGCTGAGGTGGGCGGATCACTTGAGGCCAGAGGTTTGAGACCAGCCTCGCCAACATGGTGAAACCCTGTCTTTACTGAAAATACAAAAAGATTATCCAGGTGTAATGGCAAACACCTGTAATCCCAGCTACTTGGGAGGCTAAGGCAGGGGAATCACTTGAACCCGGAGGCAGGGGTTGCAGTGAGCTGAGATGGCACCACTGCACTCCAGCCTGGATGACAGAGGAAGACTCCATTTCAAATAAAAAGAAAAAGAAAAAAGAGAGAAACAGCCAGGGAATGGATATATAAATTGTGGTATATACTTACAATGGAACACTAGTCAGTAATATAAATCAATGAATGATATACTGTTAAATGCAGCCAATAGATTGAGAATATATTGTGTGTTTACATTTCATGAAATTCTAAAGCAGGCAGTATTAATCCCTCATAACAGAAAGCTCATGAATGGTTGCTTGGGGCCAGGTGGATGGGGAGAGGATGGTCTGCAATTGAACACAAAGAAACTTTTCTTGAATGCTCTCTCTCTTGAATATGGTAGTATTTATATAGGTATATGTATTTGTCAGATTCGTCATCCTATACACTTAAAATGAATGGATTTATTATATATAAATTATATATTATTAAAGATTAAAGTGTTAATATATATTCTGGCAATGGACAAATATTCTCAACTACTTGAAAAAAAATGAGAATACATGCACATAGACATACACCACTTTCCCAAATATCTATTTGGTAAAGAAATCTGTTAAAAATAGTGAACTTTAGAATGCTTAATGTGAAGATGCACTGGAAATGACCAGAGATGTCATCATAAGCCTGAAAATTTTATGATTCAAAGAGAAAGAAAATAATTAAATATTTAAATAATGATGTTAAGACACTTCGAACTGCTAAAAACTCAGGAGGGTGAATATAACAAGTTAAAAAATAAAGTGAGCTAGAAAATCAGTTGTTGACTCTGTATACTTTTCCATGTGAAACAAATAAGGGCAATATTATCGATTTCTTTCTAATTTATGTTGGTTATGGATATATGCAACCTTTGTAAGGGATCAGCTAAATCATCTGCTTTGTTTGGTAGTTTTTACTTCAGTGCCTTTAACAGAGTGTTATGTAGCAAATTTGATAAATATTACTATGTTTTAGGCTACTTAAGTGGGAGAATACATTGATGAGTTTGATTACTAGTATCTGTAAGCAGCTTAAAAATATGCTGCTATAAGCTACTTAAGAAATTGATACTGCTCATATGGAGACTTTGGGACCATTGTTTTCCAGTATTCATATTCAGCTTGAAAGTTTTATTAATCCGACTTTAATAAGCTATGATATGGATTTGTGAAAACTGAGGTTAGAGCTTTCTTTCAGTACTGGGATTCTGTTTCTTTGCTTTTGTGTTTACAAATTTGGGTATTTTTCTAAATAATTAATTTGTAGGTTTGCATCTATACAGGTGTTAATTGAAAAGTATTACATGTACAAGCATTAATGCCAAAGTAAAAAATTGTTTTATGAGTGATATAATCTGAATTCCTGTAAAGATTTCTATTTGATTCAGCATAATTGTGTTTATATATCTTTTTGGGAAAGAGTGTGAATAGCTGGCAGTTCATCTTCTAGTTCACATGTGTGCATATGATAACCATGCAATTAGGTAGGTGTTATAAATAGGATATGGCAAAAAAGGCAAACCTACTCATGTTTCCAAGATTTTATAGCATATGCCTGGTGAAGTTTTGCTACTCTTTAATTTACTTTTTGGGTTAACCAGCTGACGCCCAGTTGAAAAGACTTATGTTCGTGTGAGGCCACAAAAGCCTTAATGTTCAGTCTCCAGCTAACTCAGATTTTGGAGAACGCTGTGTACCATCAGCAGCTTCAATCCCCACCCTCTAACGCTAACGCTCATCTATCAAACTTGAGGCTGAGAGTGAGGGAGAGGAAGCTTCCAGATAAACATACAGCAGTGCCTAAACAGCTAATCACTCTAGGCTTCCGCTTCCAGGCCCTATAATTAGAAGTCCTTCTTTTTCCTTGTATTCCCAGATGACGCAAATGCTTTTTGTGGCTTGGCACCTCATTTGGGGCGTGGGTTTAGTTTATGGCCAGGCCAGAGTCTGGTTTAGTCTTCTGATGCTGCATAAATAGTTCTCAAGCCACAGTCTACTCTGTACAAGTTTTTCCTTTTATGTATATGTACATTTTAACTTGTTTTCTAGAAGAAAAAAAAAGCTTGCTATTGCCCTAGCAGAATGTGTGCAAAAGAGGAAATTGTAAATGAAAAGAAAGCACGTGATCGTATATAGTCCTGTACTAGCTATTTCTTTTTCTTCTTTCTGCTCCTTCAATTTTTTCTATTATTTTTAAAATTTTGTGGAAAAAAAAACTTATTGGTGGATTGCATTTGCATGGAGGAGTGGAAAAAAAGTATTTGAGATCGGATATACAGACGATGTTTAACGGACGTTTTCCTGAAAATTTGAATTTGTTTTACATAATCATAACTAAACAGATATGAATGCCAGTTTGCAAAGATAGGAACATATGGGAAAGTGTTCATTTGTGATTTTCATTCACATGTAAAACAGTAATAGTCTTGATTTGGCAAATGAGGACCTTTATTTGAATGCTCATTCTGCATAAAACATTGGTATGATTTAAAACGAAATGTAATGAAGTTTATAGTAGGTGAGGAATATATGTTACAAATGCAAATTCATCTTATTTTTTGTCAGAATATTTCTACTGAATTGTTTGTCAAGTGCAGAAAATTTGTTACAGAGAGGTGGAATCAGAAGATAGTAGTGGATTTACTGATAATTCAAGTTTACTGTAACTCAGCAAAAAAGTAGGAAGAGTGGCAAAGTAGCGTCTGCAAATGGACAACAAAGCATTTATGCCTAAACTTAGAAATTCATTGTTTGGATAACAATAAGTAAGGAATGTAAAGTATGTCAATAATCTTATGATCATAGCTAGATATATTATGAGAGGTAAGATTATATATCGTTATACATTTAATAAATAATTTATTAAATTATTTATAATAAATGGCACCTTTCATTTTCTCAAATGTATTATCTTGGAAATAGCCAGGACAGTGGCATCTAGTAGGATATTTTAATATAGTGATAGAGCTGTATCTTGTATTTGCCAAAGAAATAGCAAACTCAGATATACTTTATCTTTTCACTGAAATGACTATCTTGTTTTCCCTCAGATGCTTAATATTCTTTCATACCTTTTTGTTAAACAAAACATTAGTTTAAATGCTTATACTAATGTGATTCTACTTCTGGGAGTAGCAAGGTAAATGTACAGACCATTCTTCCCCTAGAAAACAATTATGAAACCTGGACAAAATACAAATGAGCAGGCACATAAAGTTAGATATGTGTATTATAATCTCTGGAACAAACAATAAAATTTTAATATAAGGAGATATAGCCCAAAAGTCCATTGATAAATTATTTATTTTTAACATTCACCAATAAAGATTATTAAAAATAAGTAGTCTCAAAACAGCAAGAAAGCCTGAGAAGAGAAATAAAATTGAACAAAATGTTGTAGTTAGCATTCCATAAAAATTGGATATTGCAGGCTGGGTGCGGTGGCTCACTTTGGGAAGTTGAGGCAGGTGGATCACAGGTCAGTAGTTCAAGACCATCCTGGTCAACATGGTGAAACGCTGTCTCTACTAAAAATATAAAAATTAGCCAGGCACAGTAGTGCATGCCTGTAGTCCCAGCTACTCAGGAGGCCGAGGCAGGAGAATGGCTTGAACCCAGAGGGCAGAGGTTTCAGTGAGCTGAGATTGCACCACTGCACTCTAGCCTGAGAGACACAATGAGACTCCATCTCAAAAAAAAAGAAAAACCACATGTTTGAAAACTGAAAATTTGTCTCAGCCTCCTGAGTTGCTGGGACTATAGGTGCATGCTACCACGCCTGGCTAATTTTTTTACATTTTGAGTAGAGAGGGGGTTTTGCCATGTTGGCCAGGATGGTCTGGAACTCCTGACCTCAGGTGATCCACCTGCCTCAGCCTCTCAAAGTGCTGGGATTACAGGGGTGAGCCACCGTGCCCCGCTGAGATAAGTTTTAAACTGGTGAATTAAGTAGAGCAAGTAGTAGTTGGATCAGTAGATAAATTGGAGTGTAGAATTAAAGTTTGAAGAAATTGTGAAAGAGAGAGTGGATTTTAGTTCCATGTGGGTATGCTACTTTCACATTCTTTGTTTTGAAAAATGATTGTGGCTGGGCGTGGTGGCTCATACCTGTAATCTCAGAGATTTGGGATGCCATGACAGAAGAAGTGCTTGAGGCCCAGATTTTAAGGGCAGCCTGGTGGCATGTGCTTGTAGTCCCAGCTACTTGGGAGGCTGAGACAGGAGGATTGCTTGAGCCCAGGAATTTGCAGTTGTAGTAAGCTGTGATCAGGCACCTGCACCCCAGCCTGGGAAACTGAGTGAGATTCTGCTTCAGGAAAATATAAAATAAAATTGTGAATTCTGTAAATTCATCACTGATCAATTCAAGAATGTCAAACTTCTCTCTACTAGTTCTACATGAATGCCATAATACCTGCCTATCTAGTGTTTATACTTTGGTGATATAATGATGTGTCATTAAGCTTGGTATTCTCATGAAAAAAATACTTTGTTTTAATTTTTTCTTTTGTAAAGTGTCTTAGAGCCTTGGTAATTTTTTTCTCTTTGATAATATTTTAAATATTGTTGAGTAGCTTTTTAGAATATTTCATCCACATACAGAATCATTTTTATTTTTACTCTTTGTTTTTTGTCTTCCAGGAATGCTTCTAGTCACAACAGACACCCTTGGCCATGACTTTCATGTCTTCCAAATTCTGACTCATCCTTGGTCCTCATCACAAAGTGCTGTCCACCATCTGTACACTCTTCACCGGGGAGAAACTGAAGCCAAAGTAAGCTGTGTATTTTTTCAGAAGGCGATTTCTTGGTGTAATATGACATCTACTCTAGCTGGTCATTTATATCGCATTGCAGCTTAATGTTGATGTTTGTGAGAAAATATTGCTCTCTGTCATAGAATGGGTTAGATAATTAGGGAAAAATTCCATTTGACCCAGTAAATACATAAACACTAGATGAACACTTTTTTGTTTAAAAATTCAACAAATTTTGATAGAACAGTAGCTCTGTTTATCCTGCTCTTCCCAACCTTATACCATTTCTTGCCCCAGAGAAAATCCCTGTCATTCATTTGTTGTCTCTCCAGACCTTTTACTGGGCATTTTGATACTCTGGACATAAATATGTGTGTGCGTACATACACACACATATACATATAAATACGGACATAGTCATATAAACAAAAATAGATTCATGATGAATATGGATATATGGATATAGTGGAGGCTAGTGAGAAACAGTTATGCACATCCCTCTTTAGTGTGATATTTAGTGACATATTGTTTGTATGAAATCATCCATGGTGGGACTATTTGATCATGAAAATTTGCAAAAACTACAAATCAGGGCCCTTTTTTTCCTTCATAGAGCTGGATTTTAAACATTTACCAGCACATAATTATGTATACATGCATGGGTACACATACGTTCATATGTATCATTTACTGTGTACTTACATCAGGCATCATGCTAAGTACTTCACAGATATTTAATATTCTTAATATCACATGGTAGATCTGTATATTTTCTCAATAGCCTAAAATCTCAAATACCTTTTGTCTCACAGCTTATATGCACTTACCAGTACTGTATATATGTTATTCTATGAGGTAGCTGATTAACCCTACTCTATTTATTGACTAGCCTATCATTTTCCAACAGTCTAAAGTGGTTTTTCTTAAATTCCCCCCAAAATAAATGACTATAATGGACTGAATCATTTTAAATATAGAGAACTTTAACAGTTATAAGAATATGTTTGAAAAAGCATGAGTTCTTACTCTAGGTTGCTTGTTTACTAATTCACTCTGAAAATTGATAAACCAAAAATATACAGTGTTTACTCCACTCTTCTTATATCAATTTAATAAGACAAGTAGTTGATGAGGGAAAGTTTTTTCATTGAAATATTCTTTTTTTTTCTTTCAAATGGAGTCTTGCTTTGCTGCCCAGACTGGAGTGCAGTGGCACAATCTCAGCTCACAGCAACCTCCATCGCCTGGCTTCAAGCAATTCTCCTGCCTCAGTCTCCAGAGTAGCTGCAATTACAGGTGTGTGCCACCACTCCTGGCTAATTTTTGAATTTTCAGTAGAGACGGGGTTTTACCATATTGGCCAGGCTGATCTTGAACTCCTGACCTCATGATCTGCCTGTCTTGGCCTCCCAAAGTGCTGGGATTACAGGCGTGAGCCATTGCGCCCAGCTTCATTGTAATAGTCTAACATAAAAGCTTAAGTAAAATTTTAAAAATCATTTTAAAAGTTTCTTATAAAATTTTATTTATTTGTTATTATTATTTTGGGGACAGGATCTAGCTCTGTTATCCAGGCTGGAGTGCAGTGGCAGGATCATAGCTCAGTACAACGTTGACCTCCTGGGTTCAAGTGATCTGTCTGTCTCAGCCTCCCAAGTAGCTGGAGCTAGAGGTGCATGCCACCACACCTGGCAGCTTTTTCAGTTTGTTTTCTTTTTTTGTAGAGGTGACACTATGTTGTCTCACTGTGTTGCCCAGGCCAGTCTCAAACTCCTAAGCTCAAGTGATCCTCCTGCCTCAGCCTCCCAAAGTGCTGGGATGGCAGGTGTGAGTCACCACCCTGGCCTATTTTTAATTTTTGTGTGTACATAATAGTTGTACATATTTCTGGGGTACATGTGATATTTTGATACAAGCATACAATGTATAATGATCACATCAGACCAATTGGGATATCTATCACCTCAAACATTTATTGTTTCTTTGTATTGGGAACATTCTAAATCTACTCTTCTAATTATTTTGAAATACACAATAAATTATTGTTAACTATAGTTACTTTTGTACCAAACTAACAAATCAGCTTCTAGATATAGTTAGCACTTTGGAGAAAATACAGAAATAGAGGGATAAAGTAAACAATACCATGAAACTGAAACTATCCAACTCTAAAATATATGAAGTTCTGCAATACAAATATGGTTCGATTTCTTTAACAAATAATTGTATTGGGAAAATAAAAGTTGGCCTGTTGTGGTGGCTCATGCCAGTAATCCCAGCACTTTGGGAGGCCGAGGCTGGTGGATCACGACTTCAGGAGATCGAGACCATCCTGGCTAACATGGTGAAACCCCGTCTCTACTAAAAATAAAAAAAATTAGCCAGGCATGGTGGCACATGCCTGTAGTCCCACCTACTCTGGAGGCTGAGGTAGGACAATGGCTTGAATCCGGGAGGCAGAGGTTGCAGTGAGCTGAGATCCTGCCACTACACTCCACTGCAGCCTGGGTGACACACAGAGACTCTGTCTCAAAAAAAAAAAGTTGATGTGTGGCGGGGGAAAGGTGAACTGTTAAAAATTTGAAGGAGACTTTGGAGAATATCATCTAAATACAAAGCGTGGACCTTATTTAAATCATCTTTCATACAAACTAAGTATAAAAAGACATTTCAGACAAGCAGTGATATTTTTACATTTGACTTACCATACATTATTTATTGTTATTAGATATTATATAGATAATATTATTAGATATTTAAGAATTTAAAGTCCTTATTTTTTAGTGATGCAAAAGTGTTTACAGATATCTGGAATTTGCTTTGAAATGATCTAGTGGGAGGGGAGCATTGGTTAGATAATAAGATAAATAAGTGACAGAAGAAAATAGAGGGATGGTTATATCGGTTATAAGAGACTTAAAATACACATTGAGTAAATGCATTGTGAAAACTTTGTTTGGACCCTGATCTAAATAAAGTATAAAGAGACATTTTTGAGACAGTTGGAGAAAATTGACTATGAGCTAGATATATATGATGTTTATCAAGTATGACTAATTTGCCATGTATGTAATTGTATATCTGTTTTGTAGAGACAGAGTCTTGCCGTGTTGCCCAGGCTAGCCTTGAACTCCTGGGTTCCCACCTCAGTCTCCAAAGTGTTGGCATAAGCCACTGCATTTTCTTGTAACTAATCTTTTCAAGTCATTATTTATTGACTTTTCAAGGCATATATTCTGAATTATTTACAGGTGAATAGATATGGTATCTGTAATGTACTTTAAAGTATTCTAGCAAAACAAACAATGAGATAGTGTCAACAGATTTGCAAGGTGTTAATTATTGAAGTTGTGATGTCCACATAGGTGGGTAATGTTAACATTCTCTATACTTTTTGTATGTTTGGAAATTTCTCTAATAGGAAGCAAAAATAACACCCTTCACCAACTTTTTTACTTGCTTTAGCTTTATAACTTGATTTATTGTTCATTTTCTTTCTTTTTTTTTTTTTCCCATTTATTTTATTGCATTTTAGGTTTTCGGGTACATGTGAAG